AATTTTTTGTAGACACAGAGTCTCACCATGTTGCCCAGGCTGGTCTCAAACTCCTAGGCTCAAGCAATCTGCCTGCCTCAGCCTCCCAAAATACTGGGATTACAGGTGTGAGCCACTGTGCCCAGCCAATGAACGGTAATATTTTGAAAATAATCTACTTTCTAAGCAGTAGGTCAAGAGTGGGCTTAAAATATTCAGTAAACCATGCTATAAATAGATGTGCTGTCATCCAGGCTTTGTTGTTCCATTTATAGACCATAGGCAGAGTAGATGTAGCATAATTCTTAAGGCCTAAGGATTTTCAGAATATTAGGTGAGCATTGGCTTTAAATCAGTAGCTGTATTAGTCCCTAACAAGAGAGTCAGCCTGTCCTTTGAAGCTTTGGAGCCAGGCATTGACTTCTCTGTAGCTATGAAAGTCCGAGATGGCGTCTTCCTATATAAGACTGTTTCATCTACAGGGACAATCTGTTGTTTTGTGTAGCCACCTTTATCAGTGATCTTACCTAGATCTTCTGGATAACTTGCTGCAGCTTCCACATCAGCACTTGCTGCTTCACCCGTACTTTTATGTTATAGAGACAGTTTCTTTCCTTCAACCTCATGAACCAGCCTCTGCTAGCTTCAGACTTTTCTTCTGTGGCGTTCCTCACCTCTCTCAGCTTTCATAGAATTGAATTCGAGTTAGAGCCTTGCTCTCTGGATAAGGCTTTGACTTAAGGGAATGTTGTAGCGGCTTTTGATCATTTATCCAGACCACTCAAACTTTCTCCGTATCAGCAATAAGGCTGTTTTGCTTTCTTATTTGTGTGTTCACTGGAGTGGCACTTTTAATTTCCTTCAAGAACTTTTCCTTTGCATTTACAACTTGGCTGTTTGGTGCAAGAGGCTCAGCTTTTGGCCTCTTGGGACATGTCTTCCTCACTAAGCATGATCATTTCTAGCTTTTGATTTAAAGTGAGAGACCCATGACTCCTCCTTTCACTTGAACACTTAGAGGCCATTATAGAATTCTTCATTGGCCTAATTTCAGTATTAAATAGGGCAGCCCAAGGAGAGGGAGAGAGTTGAGGCAGTGGCCAGTCAGTGGAACAGTCAAAACATGCACAACATTTATCGATTAAGTTTGCCATCATATACAGATGTGGTTCATGGTGCCCCAAAACAATTACAATAGTAACATTAAAGATCACTGATCACAGATTTAGTAATGAAAAAGTTTGGAATACTGCAAGAAGTACCAAAATGGAACACAGAGACATGAAGTGAGCACATGATGTTGGAAAATGGCACTGAAAGACTTGCTCAACACAGGCTTGCCACAAACCTTCAATTTGTAAAAAACAAAACAAAACACATCTTCAAAGTGCAGTAAAGCAAGGTGCAATAAAGTAAGGTATGCCTATACTGTATAAAGTACAAACAGCTGCCTTTATTTTGAGGTAGGGATAATCAGCTGAAGGACTTTTTACCTGGGGTCTTTCTCAGTTCCAAATAACCTTTTCTCACACAGTCTTAACAGTCCACTGAGATAGACATAGATCCTTGAAGCCATGGGTCTTCTAAGAGAGCTATAACTGGGACAGTATCACTTCTGACCTCACTCTGGCCTAAGGAAGGTACATCCTTCGGCTCCTGCCAACTTGGCAAAAAGCTTTATTCCCAGATGTTTTGCTAATTGAGGTCTTAGTGTTTTCTGATAATCTGTAGTTTTCTGTAAAGCTTCTTTATAGGACTTAGCACACTTGTAGTAATTTAAGTAACTATTTTTTAGTCTGTTATTCTCTCTTAAGCTATAAACTTTACTGAAGCAGAAAGTCTATTTTGTTCATCACTATCTTCCCAGTCCTAGCATATAGGTACTCAAATATTTGTTGGCATACTAACCGCATTATCTCACATATCTAGGATGTGGCTCCTATAAAATTTAGAGAGCCAAGTGGCAGCTTGTGCATCCTCATAATGTGTTGGGTAGGTCCCAAGAGTGAGCACCTCAAGAGAGCAAGGCAGAAGTGCATGGCATTTTTATGACTTAGTTTTGGAAATCATGTATAGTGTTTGTTACTTCTGTCATACCTTATTGGTCAAAGTAGTCACAAAGTACTTTCCAAGTTCAAGGTCAGGGAATAAGGACTTCATCACTTGATGGGAAGAGTGTCATAGTTACATAAGAAGAATATGTGAAATGGGAGATCTTGTATTGGCTGTCTTTGAAAAAGAATGTTACAGTTAATTTTCACCATATTTGGAAAACTTTTTGGCCCTTCTTTCTTCAAACATATTTTCTGTCCCCCTCCACATTTTTTTTTTTTGAGACTAATTAAATGTATGCTTTATATCTCACTGATTAAGACTTTGCTTCTTCCTTTTCAGTTATTTTTTTCTCTCTGCTTCATTTTGTGTAGTTTGTATTACTATTGTCTTCAGGTTTACTGTTATTTTCTTCTGTAGTCTCCAGTCTGTTGTTAAGCTCATCTGTTGAATTTTTTTATATCTTCTATTTTCTCGCCTTATTATGTTCATATTTTCCTTCAAATCCTTGTGCATATTTATTCTATTTTAAGTTAACTATTACTTGTCAGCTAATTCTCTTTATCTATCACATTTCTGGGTCTGTTTCTATTAACAGATCACTCCTATCCCAATTACAGTATTTTTCTGCTTCACATATCTAGTAATTTTTTATTGCATGCTAGACATTACAAGTGCTACATTAAGTATCTGGATATTGTTGTCTTTAAAGAATATTGGCCAGGCGTGGTGGCTCACGCCTGTAATCCCAACACTTTGGGAGGCCAGGTGGGCATATCGCCTGCGGTCAGGAGTTTGAGCCTGGCCAACATGGTGAAACCCTGTCTCTACTAAAAATACAAAAATTAGCCAGGTGTGGTGGCAGGCACCTGTTGTAATCCCAGCTACTCAGGAGGCTGAGGCAGGAGAATCGCTTGAACCCGGGAGGCGGAGGTTGCAGCGAGCCGAGATTGTACCATTGCACTCCAGCCTAGGCGACAACAATGAGACTTTGTCTCAAAAAAAAAATTGAAAATTGTTTTGGCAGGTAGTTACTTGCTAGTCAGCTTGATACTTTCAAAGCTTGCTTTTAAGCTTTGTTAAGGTAAGTGTTTGGAATAGTTTTTGCTCTAGGGCTAGTTTAGTTCTACTACTAAAGGATGATTCTCCTTAGAGCTCTAATGAATGTCCCTGGTATTCAAGGTCGTCCTATCCGGATAGGGGGAACACAGATGTCCCCCAGCCTGTGTGAGCTCTGGGAATTGCTCGGCTTGCAATTCCAGTTTGCAGTTTCATTGCCTGGCTTTGTGGGGTTTCACCTAACACATGTGTAGGTTAGTATTCAGTAATGGAACTAAAGGGATCCCCATGCGGAGGTCTCCCTTCTGGAGGTCTTTCTCTGCGCTGCAAATCTCAGCCACCTCAGTTTCTACAAATTCCAATCTCAGTCTACTCAATTCATCAAAAAAGGATATACTGTGGTCTGCAAAGCACTTCCAGGCAGAAAGCTGGAATGATCTTCGGGCTCACCTTACTTGTTTCCCTTTTCTCAAGGATCACAATTCTTTACTGCCTATTGTCTGCTGTTTATATCAATTTTTTCATGTATCTTTGATCCAGTTTTCTGGTTGTATGTGGTGGAAGAGAAGATTCTGTACCAGTAATACATGTTGAAGTATGAGTTTTACCTCCAGGATTTCTTTCTTCTTTTAACCACTTAAAGTACAACTTAGTTTCCAAATGTAAAAATGAAGTCAACTTTGAGTTAGAATAAATAACTTGGCTTCAAGTTTCAGGCCTACCTCTAACTTGCTGCATGAATATTGGCAAATCTTATTTGTTTTTTGGCAGACACAGCAAAATTGAATTGAATATAATCCTATTCGCCCTATTTCTCAGGCATTCTGTAACAAGCAAATAGAAATAAAAACAAATCACATTAAATAAGGATGAAGTTATATTTATAGTTAGTTGACAACTCACTTCTCAAACCTCTCTTGCCTATCTTCCAGTTCCATTCTCTAAAGAATAAAAGTGCCTGAGTTAAAAGTGTAGTGAGACTGGTGCTGTTTCACAGCTTCTCCTCTTAATATTAGCCAACTGCTACTGAATGTTTTCTATGTGCCAGGAACTGTGTAAGCCTTTTATGTGAATAAATTTACTAAATTTTCTTTTTTTTTTTGAGATGGAGTCCCACTCTGTCACCCAGGCTGGAGTGCAGTGGCGCAATCTCAGCTCACTGCAACCTCTGCCTCCCGAGTTCAAGCGATCCTTCTGCCTCAGCCTCCCAAGGAGCTGAGACTACAGGCGTTTGCCACCACGCCTGGCTAATTTTTGTATTTTTAGTAGAGACATGGTGTCATCATATTGGTCAGGCTGGTCTTAAACTCCTGACGTTGTGATCCGCCTGCCTCAGCCTCCCAAAGTGTTGGGATTACAGGCATGAGCCACCGCGCCCGGCCTTACTAAATTTTCATAACTGCCATAGGGATAGGTACTATTATTGTCCCCACTTGACACCTGAGAATGAGATTAAGCAACTTGGAGAAGGTCACATAGCAAAGTGGCAGAGGCAGAACTAGGACTGATTCTTGAGCCATGTTCTTCACCATCACTATGTGACTACCTAAAAACTACTGAAAATGCATCAACTGCTGCTGATATAGAATCATTAATTATACTTAAATATAAAAGAGCATAATCTCTGCCATCCTGTTAACAAATCCTGTTTGTTTAGTCAGCATGACTGATTTCCATGGGGAAGCAGAAAGATTGGGCTATCATTGGAATATGTGATTCCTGGGAAAAACACCGTTAGGATGGCTGGAAATGGAAGATGATGTCCAGCACCAACTACCTTGAGAATAGGCTGTAAGTGGAGTACAGAGGGTCTAGTGTGGTTCTCAGAGGGTCACTGGTGTGTACTGAATCTCTACTGTCTGTCTTTTAATATTAATAGGCTCATTATTCTTTTTTCTCTCCTTTCTCAGACACATTTAATCAAACCAGGCACCAAAATGCTAACACTCCTTCCTGGAGAAAGAAAGGCTAGTATTTATTTTACTCAAAGAAGAGCTCCATCTACAGGCATTCACCAGAGAAGCATTGCTTCCTTCTTCACCTTGCAGCCAGGTATGGTGGCCCATGTGGGAATACTTCATTATCCAGGGCAAAAAAGGAGTGTGTTCATTTGTCCATGTTAGAACATTTATGAGAAATGATGAAACCAGTGCATTATGTTAAACTTAGCCTATTAGAAGAGGTTATAAAACATAAAAAATCGGCCGGGCGCGGTGGCTCAAGCCTGTAATCCCAGCACTTTGGGAGGCCGAGACGGGCGGATCACGAGGTCAGGAGATCGAGACCATCCTGGCTAACACGGTGAAACCCCGTCTCTACTAAAAAATACAAAAAACTAGCCGGGCGCGGTGGCGGGCGCCTGTAGTCCCAACTACTCGGGAGGCTGAGGCAGGAGAATGGCCTAGGACAGGAGGTGGATGCATAAAACATAAAAAATCGGCCGGGCGCGGTGGCTCAAGCCTGTAATCCCAGCACTTTGGGAGGCCGAGACGGGCAGATCACGATGTCAGGAGATTGAGACCATCCCGGCTAACAGGGTGAAACCCCGTCTCTACTAAAAAATACAAAAAGCTAGCCGGGTGAGGTGGCGGGCGCCTGTAGTCCCAGCTACTCGGGAGGCTGAGGCAGGAGAATGGCGGGAACCCGGGAGGCGGAGCTTGCAGTGAGCTGAGATCCCGCCACTGCACTCCAGCCTGGGCGACAGAGCGAGACTCCGTCTCAAAAAAAAAAAAAAAAAAAAAAAAAAAAAACCATAAAAAATCATTGCCTTTTGAAAAGCAATATATGTGTGCTTTTACAAACATACTTTTCTGGTTCTGTTTTGCTCAACTTAAATATTTGTATTTGCTGACAGAGCAGTCAGGAAAGGTGTACTTGGGCGTTGGAGGTGCACTTGGGAGTTGGAGGTGCACTGGGGAGTTGCCCTGCCATTAGTTAGGAGGTATATATCTTGGGTTGGCCACAATGGGTACTCTGTCTAAGGTTAATTGGTAATTGATATTTTTGTGTGAAGTTTCTCAAATTAGTGCAAGGTTCAAAGATGCTTGTTCTTAGAAAGCCTCACATAAAGTTGGTTTATGTCTCATCCTTTGGCAGTTCTTTGCTTCCAGGTCCCTGTTCAGGGGAGCAGCTGACTCAGCAGGCTGGGCCTTAAGCAGCAGGGTTCCTGCCACTTGGAGGGTGTTGGGAAGAGTGCTCTAATGCTGGGAGTGATTCTCAGGATTGCTTTGCCTAAACCTTCAAAATGCCCTCTCCCTCCTCCAAACAAAAACTTATACTCTTTTATGTAAGGGCAGATTTAAATTAAAAAAAAAAAAAATTAACAAAAAAACTTCTTCCACTTATAAATTCTGGTGTATTTTATAATCTATATTGAATTCTAAGGAAAAGTTGAGAATTCTCACAAAACCTAGTTTCTGCAGTATAATTCTTATTGGAGTTATTCTTCTTTGTTTTTATAATTAGATCTTGGTGTAATTTGAGCCAAGTTGGGAATTCCATGTCCTCCATCCTTATCTTAAGGCAGAAAAGAATCCACTCTATGCCTGATAAAATTAACAGGCTGGACACTAGTAGTTGTTTCACTATTCTACGTACTGACTGACTTAGCATCCTAATTGTGTCTTCACTCCCTTTCCAATGAAATGCCTGGGGAGTGGAGGACCCACGTTTTTCATACTGTCACCAGAAGGTTTCTCAGAGTTGGATGGTTAATGTCATCTTTAAGACCTTACAAAACTTGTATGTGTTTAGCATGTTTCTTTAAGGATAATGTCCAGGAATGTATATTTGGCCAGAGGATCATCATTTAGTAAAAACTACATTAAATAAAAAACAAAAGCAAAACTGATGTGCCCTATGTTAAACAAACCTACAAATGAAAACTCAGCTGGTAAAGTAGGCTGTGGTCTGATTGTATGTGATGTTTGACATTATTAGGTAGGTGATGGGAAGTATCCATGTATTTGAGTAGGGAATATAAGATCTGATGTTTTAGAGTTCATTCATGAGAGACTGGCAAGATTGAAAACAGCGAGATTGGCTACAAAATTATGTGAAGAGGCTAAGACTCCTGCACTAGGTAGTAATAGTAGCTGATACTGATTTCAGAAAAAGCCAACTGAATCCTGCTTAGGGCAGTTTTTCTGCAGAATAATATTTGTTCATTCCTGTTTTATTAGGAAAGACAAATGGTAGTGACCAGAAGAGTGTTTCATCTCATACAGAAAGTCAGCTCAACAAAGAGTCCAAGAAAAATGTGACCCAGCTAGACCATTTGATCCCAGGCTTAGCACATGATTGCATGATATCCCCTTTAGCCACTTCAACCACTGCAGACATCCAGGAAGCTGGACTCTCTCCTCAGTCCCTCCAGACTTCTGGCCACCACAGAACTGAGCTATCTTTGCTCCAGCCTGATACTCTAGACTGTGCTGGAGAGAGTAATACCCCATTGGCTTTTTCCTTCACTGAGGACTTGGAAAGTTCTTGTTTGCTAGACCAAAAGGAAGAAAAAGGGGATTCTGCCAGGAAATGGGAATGGCTTCATGGGTCTAAGAAGAACTGTCACAGTATGAAGAAATATACCAAACTACCTGGGGACAAATGCTGTCAGCCTTTAGGCAAGACTAAATTGGAAAGAAAGGTGTCTGCCAAAGAAAACAGGCAGGCCCCTGTCCTCCTTCAAACATACAGGGAATCCTGGAATGGAGAAAACGTAGAATCAGTGAAACAAAGCTCTTGTCCGGTTTCTGTGTTTTCCTGGGACAATGAAAACAATGACAAGGACTCCTGGAGTCAGCTTTTCACTGAAGATTCTCAAGGTCAGCGGGTCATTGCCCACAACACTAGAGCTCCTTTTCAAGATGTAACGAATAACTGGAATTGGGACTTAGGGCCGTTTCCTGACAGTTCTTGGACTCAGTGCCAGGAGGATGGGCCAACTCAAAATCTGAAGCCTGATTTGCTCTTTACCCAGGACTCTGAAGGTAATCAAGTTATCAGGCACCAATTCTAAATGTTTTGAAGCTTTGTTCCTAAAAGTACCTTGAAATGACAGAGATGTAGGAAAATATAGTTGTGGGTGGAGAGGCGAGTGAGTTTGTTTAGGTGGGAAGGTGGCATGGGATGAAGTTATCATTACTGAGCATCTTCCCTATGTAAAGGGCAGTACCATTGTTAAGACACTGGGTTTGCCATCATGGCTTTCCCTCAGGAAGATGGTGGCTGATAAATTCCCTGAACAAGTCTATGATGAACACTGAGGCAGCACGGTGGGTATTTATCTCTCCATGAAAGCACCTTTTACTTAGCCTGCACAGAGCCTTCCAGATGTCTGACTGGGACCTTGCTTATGGATGTGTGGGGTTTTTTTTTTTTCTTTTCTCTTTTTTTTTCCTCAGATGGAATCTCACTCTGTTGCCAGGCTGAAGTGCAGTGGTGCGATCTCAGCTCACTGCAACCTCTGCCTCCTGGATTCAAGTGATTCTCCTGCCTCAGCCTCCCGAGTAGTGGGACTACAGGCGCATGCCACCAAGCCCAGCTAATTTTTTTTTGCTATTTTTAGTAGAGACGAGGTTTCACCGTGTTAGCCAGGATAGTCTCCATCTCCTGACCTCATGATCTGCCCGCCTCGGCCTCCCAAAGTGCTGGGATTACAGGTGTAAACCACCGTGCCGGGCCAGATGTGTGAGCTTTTAATCTCTGGCTGATCTTAACCCACTTCGACCTAAGCTTGGGATGATTACTCTTGACCCTTATTTTGAGTGATTAGCACATCTCCCCACAACCCAGGTGTGCGCAGAAGAGAGGTAGAATGGTGCTAGTTTCGTATTTTATTTTTGTGGTAACTGTACAGCACTTTAAAGTTATATACTCTATGTTTAAATATACCCCTTAAAAAGCCTGAGCTATATAACAATCTGGATGTGACTGTGTTACCCTTTTCCCACAAGATAGGAGGGAATCCCCTTTGTAAAACTATGAATCCAAATAAATGTTTACAAAGTGGCTCTTGTGGTAACTGGTAATTAAACGATTATCAATTTTATTTTTGAAAATGCAACTGTAATAGTGTATGTTGTCATTGCCCTGAGTCTGATGTGAGCCAGAGTCTAGTTTGACCTGTCTTCTACCCAAGGCATTATCCTTTGTTGTTGATATGGTACCTAAGAGGCTTAAACAATCTCTAGGGGACAAACTTGCAGGTTATAACATAGAACTGCTTTTTTTCTTTAACTTAAATTTTAGTTTTTTGAGACATGGTCTCGCTCTGTTGCCCAGGCTGGAGTGCAGTGGCATGAACACAGTTCACTGCAGCCTGGACCTCCTGGGCACAAGTGATTTTCCCACCTCAGCCTCCTGAGTAGCTGAGACTACAGGCACATGCCACCATGCCCAGCTAATTTTTAAAATATTTTGTAGAGATGAGGTCTTGCTTTGTTGCCCAGGCTGATCTTGAACTCCCAAAGTGCTGTGATTAGAGGTGTGAGCCACTGTGCCTGGCCTAATTTAAATGTTAAATTCTACTTTTGTGTTCTATGTCATCTCTCCGGTCATTTTCCTGGAAGACCTGCTTTTTTAAGAATGTATGGGGCTTAGTGCGGTGGCTCATGTCTGTAATCTCAATGCTCTGGGAGGCTGAGGTGGGAGGTTTGCTTGAGACCAGGAGTTCAAGACCAGCCTGGGCAACATACAAGACCCCATCTCTACACAAAAATTAAAACATTTCCTGGGTGTGGTGGTGCATACCTGTAGTCCCAGCTACTCAGGAGGTTAAGGTGGGAAGCTCGCTTGAGCCCAGGAGCTTCGAGGCTGCAGTTAGCTAATGATCCCACCACTGCACTCTGGCCTGGGCATTACAGAGCTAGATACTGTTTCTAAAAAAAGAAAAAGAGTATAGGGCAAAATCTCTACAGAAAGGGGGAAGAAAACCCCTAGAAGGGCAGGACCTTATAAGGAAAGAGGAGAAGCCAGTAGCCTGTTTAAGTTCATACACTTTAAAATGAACAATAATCCTATCCCCTGAAGGATACTGGGTAATCACAACTCAAGAGATGGACACAGTAAATGCATTCTCTCTCCAAGTCCTTCCTTTAATGTCAGGTAGTGCTTCAACCCAAACACACACAGTATACATACCATAGAGAAAGGGACCTGAGGGCATCTGAGTCATGCATGGTGTGGTAGGTACAAACCTTGGCCCAACCCAAAGGAGCAGTCAAGGGCCTGGAAGAAAGATGGTATGCTCTTTCCCCCTCCTCCTTTCTCTTTCCTACCGGGCTTAAAGTCCGTGAAAGAGAAAGTTTTTAATCAGTGGAACTGATAAGGCCTCAGGGCCATGGAGGGTAGATTTGGTTGTTCAGTAATATAAAATGTGTTTAAGAAAAAAAACAGCCCAGGCTTCCCAGCAGTAGCCCATGTGTTGGCTGGTTCAGCAGCCTGACCTCTACATGTAGACAAGGAAGTGAGGAGGGTGATTGCTGGGCATTGGTGTAGGTTTATGATGGAGCAGCATAAAATTTTCCATGCCCTGTGAACGTGTATACAAACATTTATAGCCCCTTCCCCTCAGCCCTGCTCTGCTGCAAGGAAGCTGCTGAGAGTGAGTGACAGCTGGGCACAAAGTGTCTTGTGAGACCAGTTATAGGGTCTAATGCAGTGAAGTCAGTCAGTCATTTCGGACCTGTTTTCACACAGGGGCAAGGAAAAACCAGAAACAACTTCTCTCTTACCCTTTAAACTGAGATACTTCATTCTATACGATTACCTGAAACAAATGTCTCAGGTCAAATCACAAGCCTTAGCTTCTGCCAGGGTTTGAAGTCTGGGAAACATATAATCCAGCTCTTCTCTTTCAGTCCGAGCTCTAGCTTGTTAGCAAGACTGTTGCAGAAGATTTCTCCTTTAGAGGCAGAAACATCTGTGGTGAGGAAGGCAGCTATTGAAGGTATTCCAGGAGCATGAGACTGAGTTTGCAGAGCTGAGGGTTGTCAGTTTCCTTTTCTACTGATATCTTCTTCCTTTAGAGCAAACTTCCTTCGTAAGACCTCAGAGATAAGCACAGCAGGGTCCTCCTCCTTCAATGAACTCCGGTTCCTAGAGACACAGTAATAGCTTGAGTACTTACTCTTTCCTGGGTAGTGTTGTATATATTTGAATACATTATCTCATGGAATCCTCACAACAATCTTACTAGGTAGGTGCTATTACAATTCCCTTTCACAGATAAGGAAATTGAAGCACAGAAAGGTTATACAAGTTGCCCAAGGTCACTAGTCACTCAGCAAGTAAGCGGTGAATCCAGAGTTCAAAACCAAACTAGCTGGTTCCAGATCTCTTCTATTAACTAGAATGCTTTACTATTTCCTGAAATAGCTATGAAGTGTGGGCAAAGTAAAGGACCATCAATCGGTTAGAGTTGCCCTCTGGTGGCTAAGCTTCTGCTTCTGCCTTCTGGCCCTATGTTTTCTTAGTAGCATTTCCCCAGAGGGTCAGCAGGGGAAATGACTGATGACTCTTGGCTATTCTAACCCTTAATAGTTCTAGGGAAAAGGTGTGCTTGGGATTTCCTACTTCCCGGTCTCCCCTTCAGGGTAGATGATTTTTTACGAGAGCCAGAATTAGAGCAAAACATTCACACAAGAAACGCATTGGAACAAAACCAACTCCAGACTGAAGTAGGCCCAAATTATCTGATACATCATATAAGAGGGTCCTAGATACCCGGAAAATAGTTGCTTGAAATCCTAGTGAACTTGGCCGGGCGCGGTGGCTCAAGCCTGTAATCCCAGCACTTTGGGAGGCCGAGACGGGCGGATCACGAGGTCAGGAGATCGAGACCATCCTGGCTAACACAGTGAAACCCCGTCTCTACTAAAAAATACAAAAAACTAGCCGGGCGAGGTGGCGGGCGCCTGTAGTCCCAACTACTTGGGAGGCTGAGGCAGGAGAATGGCATGAACCCAGGAGGCGGAGCTTGCAGTGAGCTGAGATCCAGCCACTGCACTCCAGCCCGGGCGGCAGAGACTCCATCTCAAAAAAAAAAAAAAAAAGAAATCCTAGTGAACTTATATATACATTCATCCTCAAGAAGGTGTTTTACTGGGGAGTAAGCTAAATATAAGAGCCAAGACTGATTATTCAACCTTCAAAGCAACAACAAGAGGGACTGCGTTTGGTTGGTGACATATCTGAACCTTTGCTGACTGGGGTACTTTCCCAGTCTTATTCACTAACCCAGCTTCTTCTGATCCGAAGACACAAGTGGGAGGAGGGGGCTGGCAATAAGGGTCTTGAATCTAATTTGGTCCAAAAGGCAAGTAAGAGAAAGTTTGAGAGTCAACCTAAAAAACACTGTGTTCAGAAGAAAACAGCTCAGAGAAGACCAAAAGCAGCAGCAACTGAATTTGGGAACGTGGAAGACCAAAGAGATATGGGTGAGTATGACCAACCTGACTAGGGCCAGTGAAGGAAGGTTAAGAGTGACTTCCCTAAACGGGTCAACTGCCAGGAAGCAATGAGGGAGTCACTTAGCTTGGTCTACTTTTCAGAGGGAAATGGATCCCAGGAGACAAAAAGGGATCCAGGGCAAGTAACTTTCCCTTTAACAGGAACTTAACATCAACTCAGGAGACCTCACTTCCCCGTCCCCAAAACAGTTTTTCATCTGCATTAACAAACAGAGCTGCACAAGCTGGGCGCTGGCCATCAAGGTCTGGCTCTCCAATGCCCAGGAACCTACATTCAAACCAAGCTCCTCTGGTGAGTCCTGTGCAGCTGTTGAAATCACAACCCACAACTGGAGAAACACTATGCAATGGGGTGACTTCCTGAGGCTTCTTTGCCAGATAAAGTTTTTCAAGGTAGGTATTCCCCAAAGTCCCTCATACTCCATCGGAAAAACCTAGAGCTCCACTCCTTGGGGTTCTACTATTAAGTTAAAGGTGTATTTTTAACAAATCCGAGCAATTCTGATGGGCAGCTACGTTTCGGAACTACTGGCGAGTCTCAAAAGCCTTGTTTTCAAATCACTGAATATGCAGGATTGGTTTGCACAATGGACCACTGTATTTTAAAGTAGAAATCTCCAACTTTATGAAATTCTCCTCCCACCAAAAAAGCCTACCAATTTGAGATAAGAAAACATAACAAAACATAATGTCATGCAACCCCTCACTTTGAAGGGTGGGGCATGAAGACACTGTCACTAGCAGTATGAGAACTGAAGTGATAAAGCCACCTGAGGACAGAAGTTGGATTAGATGAGCTGCCTTATAAAAGTCCCTACTAGCCTCATATTTGGTTGGGGTGACCTAACCCAATAAATGTAAAGTGTTGCTCTTTCCTCAAATTGGGGCCCCAGGCACTGGCAAGCAGGTAGTCAGCAAGCTTTATGAATGACATAACATATGGTACTACTAAGAACTTACTATGTTGCATTAGATCATTGGCCATGGGCAACTCAGAGTAAACAGATACTAGAGCTCCTCATCAGATACTTACAGATCTTGGCTCTGTTTCATTCGGTGAAAGTCCTTCAGGATACCCATCATATCTGCAAAGCTGCTGGCCTTGGACAAAGAGATGCAGTCATCCTCTTCAGACGAACTGCAGGTAGCTTTGTGTTCTGGTTTGCAACATTCAGGGCTGGCAGAACAAAGCAGGGGGACTGATGGAAGCTCAGGGACCTCCACCTCTGTCTCCTCGGTGATGTCACTAATGACAAAGGAAGTTGTAGAGTGGAATGAGGATCCAAAACAAGGTAAGGGAGAAGAGACATTTGAACTTCCTGGAGATAAGAAATCTGGCGTTAATGAAGCCGAAGCTGAAAGAGAAAACAATAGGCATGGATGGACATTGGGGCTAGAACACAGTAGGAATATCTTCTCCCCACAGCCCTGCCTACTGAACATTCATTTCCTGGGCTGACGCCATGACAGTCTGGGAGAGCCAGGATGGTATCTGTAGCCACTGGAGGGTCATTCCACTATGCTTCTCACTCAGGGGCTCAGAAAGCTGTAGAAGCACTGGGCTTTTCCAGTGTTCCAGGAGGGCAGGAAAACCCAGCCCATAAAGGCCTTGGCATTTAAAACTGCCATTCCACAATAGGCTGTGGAGTGATAGCCTTGTCATAGGCCAAAGCAGCAGTGACAGCTAAGGCCTGAATTTGTCCTTTTCTCTAACTAGGCTAGTGCTTTTGACTGTGCTCCTTTGTATCTTGCTATCTGTGAACTAAAAGACATGTTCCAAGCAAAACGAGAATGGTGACAGACCTCCCAACCTTCCCAAATTTCAGTGGAGAGAATTTCCTTAATTTCTACATTTCTAAAAATACTTTGAAAACACTAAATACACTAAAAACTATGTTTCTAAAAAACGTGTTACTTCAGTTTGTCTCTTGTATGACAAAAAAGTAGCCAAGAAATATAAATGGAGTTTCAGTGCAATTCTTCATAAAACTTCCATGTGAAGAAATTAAATACATGAAGATTTCAAAGAATACCATGATTTTCATGCGTCCTACCAACTGATAAATTTAGGAGCTATGACTCTGAGTCAATGCAGAGTGAAAAAATGAGGATGGGAGGAATATGAAGATAAGCCCTGAGCATCTTGGGAGAGATCCACCTGTTGGTTGTCCATGCCTCTGGTCAAGGCAGGCTTCCCATCCATTTCCAGTGGTTCTGCCTTAACTGTAGACAGAAAGCTGGAGGGATGGGTTACAAGGCTTGTTTGCATAATGGACCTTTTTTTTTTTTTTTTTTTTTTTTTGAGACAAAGTCTCACTCTGTTGCCCATGCTGGAGTGCAGTGGTGCAACTTTAGCTCACTGCAAGCTCCACCTCTGCCTCTGCCTCCGCCTCCCAGGTTCAAGTGAGTCTTGTGCCTCAGCCTCCCAAGTAGCTGGGATTACAGGCACACACTGCCACGCCCGGCTAATTTTTGTATTTTTTGTAGAGACAGGGTTTCACCATGTTGGCCAGGCTGGTCTCGAACTCCTGACCTCAGGTGATCCACCCGCCTCAGCCTTCCAAAGTGTTGGGATTACAAGCGTGAGCCACAGTGCCCGGCCACTGTATTTTTAAGGCCAAAATCTCCAACTTTATGAAATTCTCCTTCCACCAAAAAAGTCCACTAATTTGAGATAAGAAAACGTAACATAATGTCATGCAACTCCCCACTTTGAAGGGTGGGGCATGGGGACAATGTCACTAGCAGTATGAGAACTGAAGTGGTGAAGCCACTTGTGATCCCTGGTAGAAACGACAAGGCGAGGGAAGATAGGTGCTTAAAAAGGGTAAGTCTCAGCAGTGGTGGGGGATATGTTTACTTGTATTGAAAAGGAAAGCAGGGTGCGGTGGCTCATGGCTGTAATCCTAGCGTTTTGGGAGGCTGAGGCAGGCAGATTGCTTGAGCTCAGGAGTTTGAGACCAGCCTGGGCAATGGCGAAACCCTATCTCTACTAAAAATACAAAAAATTAGCTGAGCATGGTAGTGTGCACCTATAATCCCAGCTACTCAGGAGGCAGAGGCACAAGAATTGCTTGAACCCGGGAGGTGGAGGTTGCAGTGAGCCAAGACTATGCCACCGCACTCCAGCCTGGGTGACAGAGTGAGACTGTTTCAAAAACAAAAAGAAAAGGAAAGCCAGCGGGCATGGTGGCTCATGCCCGTAATCTTAGCACTTCAGAAGGCCGAGCTGGGTGGATTACTTGAGGTCAGGAGTTCGAGACCAGCCTAACTAATATGGCAAAACCCCGTCTCTACTAAAAATACAAAAATTAGCCAGGCGTGGTGGTGCACACCTGTAATTCCAGCTATTCAGGAGGCTGAGGCATCAGAATCGCTTGAGCCTGGGAGGCAGAGGTTGCAGTGAGCCAAGATTGTGCCACTGCACTCCAGCCTGGGCAACAGACCAAGTCCCAGGATCCTGTCTCCAAAAAAAGGAAAGCTGGCCAGGCTTGGTGGCTCACGCCTATAATCCCAGCACTTTGAGAGACTGAGGCGGGTGTCATCTGAGGTCAGGAATACAAGACCAGCCTGGCCAACATGGTGAAACTCTGTCTCTACTAAAAATATAAAAATTATGGCTGGTGCGGTGGCTCATGCCTCTAATCCCAGCACTTTGGGAGGCCAAGGCGGGCGGATCACGAGGTCAGGAGATTGAGACCATCCTGGCTAACATGGTGAAACCCCGTCTCTACTAAAAATACAAAAAAATTAGCCGGGCGTGGTGGCAGGCGCCTGTAGTCCCAGCTACTGGGGAGGCTGAGGCAGGAAAATCGCTTGAACCCGGGGGGCAGAGGTTGCCATGAGCCGAGATCGTGCCACTGCACTCCAGCCTGGGCAACAGAGCGAGACTCCGCCTCAAAAAAAAAAAAAAGCCAGGCCTGGTGGCCCATCCCTGTAGTCCCAGCTACTCAGGAGGCTGAGGCAGGAGAATCGCTTGCACCCTGGGAGACAGAGGTTGCAGTGAGCCGAGATTGTGTCACTGCACTCCAGCCTGGGCGACAGAGCAAGACTGAGGGAGAAAAAAAAAAAAGCTACTGTGGGCTTATGTAAGATGTGATCTTAAAGACACTTGGAAGAGGGTGTCAGTTTTGGGGCTAAGGGAGGGACTCTGCCTGGGGTCACAGGTTAAGTGAAGATTTTGTTCCTAACCAAACCATTCAGCCCAAAATGGCTGGTAGAAACCATCTAAGAGGCACTATAGGCTAGCCAGGTTTCAAGACAACTCCAGGGCCCGGAACCTAAGTACCTCCAAACCAAGGACTACCATTTTCTTTACCCCCATCCTGCCCAAGAGCCAGGGGAAAGGAACAGCCTGTTATGTTCTGGCCCTGGCACAGGGGCTCCTACCTGCATCAGCTGCCACTATCTTTGCAATCTGGCTGCGCAAGTGGCTCAGCTCATCCTGCAGCTCAGTGGTGCGGCTTAGGGCTGGCAGGGCTGGCTTCTTCAGGGCCAGAAGCCTCTCCTCGGACCCACGCAGGTTGGGAACGGAGGCATTGCGCTGCATGACAATCAGAGGGCTGGGTTTCCAGGTGTGCCTCAGGGGGCGCGTATCACTCCTGGACCAGGGAAAACCAAGTAGGTCAGTTAGGAATGGCAGGCCACTGTGCTCCCTAAGTTCCTTCCCCCACTCCTATAAGAGTAGCACAGTAAGGTTCTGCTCCTCTCTGAGCCCCCACAGTTCTCATTCCTCTCTCCTTGCTGCCTGCCACCTCTTCTGGGAAGTTCTCCATTCCTCAGCAGACCAGCTACTGCCTCAACTACCTGACCCGGGCGTATGTCTCCTCTTCATCTGCAGCAATCCAGGCGATGTCAGCCAGGGTAGGGACTGGGGGCACGTCTCTCAAACACAGGTCAGAGATGTTGGGCAGGGTCTATGGAGAAGCAAAATTCATCAACATTTACAGGCGCCATGATAAGCCAATCAGAAACTGCAGAATACACAGGAGGGGTACCTAATCTGGCACTGGGAGTCAGGAAGGCTTCCTAGACGGGGCAGAAGAAGGTTCCTGGTCGAAAACATTGAACAGAGGCCAGATGATAGTCAGGCATGGTGGCTCACACCTGTAATCTCAGCATTTGGGAGGCCAAGGCAGGCAGAATGCTTGAGACCAAGAGTTTGAGATCAGTCTGGGCAACATGGCAAAACCCTGCTCTACCAAAAAGAAAAATACAAAAATTATCTGGGTATGGTGGTATATGCCTGTAGTCCCAGCTATTCAGGAGGCTGAGGTGGGAGGATGGCTTGAACCTGGGAGGCAGAGGTTGCAGTGAGCCGAGATTGCGCCACTGCACTCTAGTCTGGACAACAGAGCCAGACTCTGTCTCAAAATAAAAACAAAAAGAGGCCAGATGCATGAGAGTCCATGTGATTACAAACAGTTCTGTGTCTTCAGTGGGACAGGCCTGAGTCACCTTTTAATAGAGATGGCTACTGTCTAAAACCACTGTGCCCTCTGGTGAAAATACAAGTACAAGGTCATCAACAACCTGTTACAGCAATAGGAAATTTTTCCTGACTAGCTCTTTATAATCCTGTATAGCTAATTGAGATTGACAATGTCACAGCAATGGTGTTTTAAACAAACCTGATAATTTGAATATATTTAGATTTAAATAAAAAGAAATTAATTATACAAAAGGAACCATAATAGGATTTCTTAAAATAGCTCCTCAACCCAAATGAGCAACAACCTAGAGATGAGTAAAGTGAAAAATTAGGATTCAATCATGTTGACTATGATTACAACAAAGTAAAAAACATCTAGAAAAAGAGAGGACTACACTAAGACATTAATAGTTACTGTATTATTACTGTGTAATTATAGGTAATTTATTTTCCTTTTACTCTTCAAAATTTTAATATTTTCATGTGCTTAAATTTCATGTGCTTAAATTTTCAAAATAAATTGGTAAGAGTCCCTTAATATTTAAGGTAATTTAATAATAGTAATAAATGCATATCTACATACAAGTAAAATTCAGCTGTTTCTGCTACAAATTATTTGGTATGGTGGATGGATCCAGGATTGATAGCTCCTGCATTCAGATAGGAAACCTGGGACTCCCAGGAGTGAAGTGATACTCCAAGGTCACACAGAGAACTTCCACTGACCCAGGAACTAGTGCTAAAACAGGCCATTCGGGGAAGCCTCCATTTGTTTTCCTGATTAGCGCTGAATGCTCCTTTGCTCTTGGCAATTAAATGAGTAAACACAAAGTACTCAGCACAGTGCCTGACACATAGTATGTGCTCAGTAAATGTTATCTAGTATTACTAATACTACTCACATATATTCCTGCTCTGTGAGAGCCTGTCCCCTTGACCGTCTCTGCCAGCATCTGGCCAAAGGGTACAGCCAAGTGTGGGGGCAGCCTCCATGGAGTGAGCCACACTCCCTAGCTGTCTCCCTTTTTTTTTTCCTGATGCTTCTGAGGCAGTTAGGACCAGTTCCTGCCCAGGACCTTTAGGCAATTCTGGATAGCTGGCAATCTGAATATTGGGACAGCTTTTCCTGCCACCCACCCCTGCAACATGTATACTTCCAACACCATTCCTGACCTAATATCAACCCTGACACCTCATCTAATTCCAGATCCAGTTCCTACAGACTGCTGCTTAGCATCTTTTATACAGATTTGGCTCCCTCCTTTCTGTTTCTACCTGGGCCACATCCTTTTATGCACATATTTCTATCTCCTCTGTGTGGGTAGAAAGCAGAAGTATTTATTTTGTGTCCCAGCTCCCCAAATGCACACATCTGAACCACATAGTTTGGGGCTGGTGCTTAACCATTAGTTCCCAGAGGGAGGCAGCTGGGACTAATAAATGCTACTTAGCTTTCTACCACAGAAGGGGTCTCAAGAAACCTGGGCCAGGCAGGAATCTCTGCTGCAGAGTGGGTGCTAAAGGATCCCTAGACACAGAGGTAAGACCGAAGCACCCCAGTAAAGGAGGCCCAGATTGGCCAAAAAGAGCAGGCTGAGGAATTATGGCCTCAGAGAAACACTAAAAATAGTGGAGCTTGGTGGCCGGGCGCGGTGGCTCAAGCCTGTAATCCCAGCACTTTGGGAGGCCGAGACGGGCGGATCACGAGGTCAGGAGATCGAGACCATCCTGGCTGACACGGTGAAACCCCGTCTCTACTAAGAAATACAAAAAATAGCCGGGCGAGGTGGCAGCACCTGTAGTCCCAGCTACTCGGGAGGCTGAGGCCGGAGAATGGCGTGAACCCAGGAGGCGGAGCTTGCAGTGAGCTGAGATCCGGCCACTGCACTCCAGCCTGGGCAGCAGAGCAAGGCTCCGTCTCAAAAAAAAAAAAAAAAATAGTGGAGCTTGGCTTGTGCCTGTAATCCCAGCTACATGGGAAGCTGAGGCAGGAGGACTGCTTGAGCCCAGGAGTTTAAGACTTAGCCTGGGCAACATAGGGAGACCTCATCTAAAAAATTAATAAAATAAATAAAAAGACTGGCGACATGGCCAATTCTTAGGGCTGGTGAAGAAAAGCAGAGTTCAACTCAAAAATCACAACACTCACTGTCCCATGTGGAGACCTATCAGGTTCCTTGTGGTCACAGGTTTGTATGCACTCAGGAAGGCACAGTGACCAGGATCTATTATAAGCATTTAACAAATATTTCATAACAGAATGAAAAGTGACCAGGAAACAACCTACTTGGGCAGTACCAAGGGGTTTGGGGCACAGAAGCAGCACTCTGAGCCTCTACCCTCCTGCCCTTCCAACATACTCACCTCGAAGGATGCCCGGGGACACGGCTTCAAGGGTAGGTTGGTCCCAATTCTTCTTACTACACTTCGAGCAGCCCCATGCGGCTTGTTTTGCCAGATTGGTATGGTCTGGAGCAAAGAAAGAGAGACAGTCACAACCTCAGAGACTGAATCCAACTACCGTCCTTGTCCTCTTCTCTCTAGCAGGGAGACTGAATTCCACAAACCTAGGGACAGGGCACACTCTAGGGGCAAGTCAACTCTCAATTATAGTGAGGGCAGGTTCCCCAGTTGCCAGCCTACACCCTGGCCAGCCACCCAAGGGAATACCTGCTGCTGCTAAGGCAGTCAATGTTGGGAGGGTCAGTGAAGGGAAGAGGAAGTAGCTAAGTGTAGAGATTATCCAGGCTTTCCTTCCAGCCCTCTGTACAGAAAGGCAGACATACACTGACTTCTGAAGTGCCCCAGGATCATAGTTGGTTCTTCTTAGGGCAGGGGAGTGAAATGGTGGCCTTGCTCCAATTCCAGGCCTCTGGAGAAAGGAGTGCTCAATTGGAGAGTCTCAGAACCTTATACTGTACCTCAGCAGGCCCAGCACCCAACCTTCCCCCACCATACCCCTGCCGTAGGAATGCCCCTTACCACACTGGCTTCCATTCCCGACACGTGAACCAGCTCCTGCACTTGAAGGACAAGGCAGCCACAGGGCAGCTCCGGGAGGTGGGAGGCGTGACTCCTTCATATCAGGCCATCTGGAGGAGCACCAGATTTCCCTCTTGTGAAACAACCCCCCACAGTGGGGATTCAATGGTCACCACACAAGCCCCACAAAACCAGGCCCTGCAGAGCCATGACTAACACCAAGACTTCTCTGAAGATGCAAATAGAACCCTTTGGTAGCTAGAAAGCTCATCGAGCCAAGTTATAGGTACTATCCAAGCCCAGGATTCATTCTTGAAGATGAGATGTAAAAGCACTCCTGGGCCCTTGCAAGGAGAGAGATCAGAGAAAATAGGAGAACAAACACCAGCTCTTGCCAATCTCAGTCTCCCGAGCTATAGAGGAAAAGAGCCAAAAAAGTTTATCCTGGCTCAGCCACCTCCTGGCTGTGTAGCTACAGGCAAGTTATTTAACTTTGCTGAACATTGGTTTTTCCATCTGGGAAAAGGGGACAGGAAAAGCTGCCACTGGAGGCTACCTTAAGGGTCAATGAGTGAAATGGGGTTGAGTGCTTAATGAACTATTAAAACATGACACAGATGGGTGAGGTGACATCTGACTGCTCTTCATAGCAGTTCTTGCATGGTGAGCAGATGCAGTGTGCTCGTTCATTCACTTGTTCATCAAACACCAACAGTACCCACTTGTGCCAGGCCTTGTGCTGGGCACTGTAGGGGCTATGGGGGGAGTAAGACACAGTCATGCTCTCGAGGAACTCGCTGTCCAGCAGAGTGATAGGACATGAATACGTACTTCTAGCAAAGGCTGAAAATCACTAGGCAGGTGGCCAGATGAGGTCAGAGCTCTGGCCCTAGTGCCCTGTAGTGAGTTTCGAGGGAGTAGGAAATGAAGACAAAACAGCAAGAGCACAGGTCCAGCACAGGAGGGTGAAGGATGTGGAAAGAGGAGCAGAGCATGATAAAGCTACTAAAGTAGGGGTCAAGTCATGAGGTCCGGGTGAGAGGTCACTGGGGGAGCCCTGGACAGGCTCTGAACGGGGGACAGACTAGACTGACAAAGCAGCTCTTTCTGGAGACCTCCCATGGAGGGTCCCCTCTTCTACCCATAGGAGAGGAGGTGTCACTCACTTTACGATACACATGGGGAAAGGAAGTTGGAGAGGGGAAGGCACTTGTCTAAGGTCACTCAATGGTCATGCCAGTGGAAAGCACCCAAAGCCTGGTCCAGGTCCTGCCACCTCCTGCCTGGGCTCCATCTTCTCGGCTCAGTTCAAGCCTTTATTATCAGAGTCCCTCTGTGTGCCAGGCTCTGTGCTGAATGTCCATGTCGGCCACGAATTGCACTAACAATGCTTACTGCCACTTTCTCTCCGACCTTACCTCCAAAGACCCAGCTGGGCCTAACCCTCACACACAGCCAGAGGAATCCTTCCCAAACACACTGTTAATCACATCGCTCTTCCGTTTAAAACTGGCTTACTAAAGCCAACACAGGATAAAATCCACAATCAGTCCCAAACCCATCTTTCTCTGCCCTCTCTAGACCACACCGAGTACCAAGGCCTGCACATTTCGCAGCCAGCCCTCCTGCTCTCCCCCTTGCCCTCCAGTCACACTGGCCCTCAACCCCCAACACTGGGCCCACCTCTGAGCCCTGCATCAAACACCAGCACCCCCTTCGCCGAGCTCATTCTTCTTCATTCCTCAGAGCTCAGCTCAAGCATCACCTTCCTTCCCTGCGACAGGGTCAGGTCCTTTCCTGTGCGCTCCGCAGCACCCTGCCTGTCCCTCGGAGTCCTCGCGAGAGGAACTAGATAACTGTGATCCCCGCGCACAGCACGGTGTCTGCCTAGGACACAGTAAGCGCTTCAACGCGCCGAACTAACTAACCGAATGAAGGAGAACACCAACTCAGCTGTCACCCCCGCCCCCAAGTGTCACTGGCTAGAAGATCTTCCCCCGTTCTCTGGCAGCACCGGTGGGTCTTGTCACTGAGGCTGCCGTTGCTGTCTATTGACAGGCGTCCCCCTCAGGAGACCGGGAGCTCCTCCAGCGCAGGGCCCCGCTCAGCACCCCTGGTCCCGGGGGACCCCACGGAGGCCGCCGCGCTCAGTGAAACTTTGCCGCTCGCAGCAGCGCCCGGAGACCCGCGTGGACCCTCTCCCTGCGGGGACCGGTCAGGGCGCGCCGCCCCTCCCCCGCGGCAGCCGCCCCGACCTGGGCCAAGGTCGGCCAAGTCCTCGCCGCCTGCCCAGCGGCCCTTGGACCCACAGGCCTGGACCAGAGTGCGCGGAAGCCTCCGAGCCACGGCCAAGTCTCAGAATGCGCGGCGGGGCAGCCCGGCCCGTCAAGCAGCGAAGCCGAAACTAGAAGTCTCAGGTCTGGCTTGGTCACTGTTTGCTGGGGTACTCCGACGAGCAACTACCCTTCGGGGACTCAGTTTCCCCCGGGCCAAGTGAAACGGACACCAGCGGCTCCCGCGAGAACTCGCGCGGGAACAGGAGCCGCGAGCTCCGCACAGCGCCTGGCACCTAGACCCAGTCTACTAACGGGCTGGAAGGCCGCACTCCCGTCTCCACGCCGCCCTAGAACCTTTCTCACCTCAGTCTCGGGCTCCGGGACTCTCTCACCTCACGGCCCCTCCTTCCACCGTGGGCTACCGCCCTCACTTCCGCTGACCCGCCCCCCGGAAGCGATCCTCCGCAGCTGCGCACCGAGCCGCACCTCCGCGCACCGTCGGGAGGCGGGTCCAGCCGGGTGGCAAGAGGAGGGCGGCCCCCGAGTGGGCGGGGCGCTGGCGGGGGCTCGCTCAGATCCCGCGGAGCACACTCCCCCTCTGTCGAGACTGTGTCTCCGCGGGGTCTGTGTCCCCGGGAGGAGTTGGCTGCGTTTGGAGATCCCTGAGCCTGATATTCGTCGCGTCTCCCTGCTTGTTACTCTCCACGTTTAGCCCCATACGACTTCTGGAAGCCGAGGGATGTGTCGCTCATCCCCTAAAGTATGCTCCTACCCCTAGGGCAAACTTCAGAATCCTCACCCTGGCCCCCTTTGCAGTTCATGGTTCCCAGGCAAGCCCCTCTGCAAAGCCTCTTTCCAGCAAGAATGGGCAGAATGGGCCTCTTTCTCCTCTGACTCCTGCCCTCCAGCACTTTGCAGCTTTCTTCTATTTTAGTCTCTGTCTCTCTGTCTCTGTCTCTCTCTCTCACTCTCTCTCCTCTCTCGCCTCTCTCTCTCTCTCTCTCACACACACACACGGTATATTCAGTGAGTTTGCTCATTAGATGGGTACTTGATGCACAAGACCCCAGAGGCACTGTGGGAAGAGCCACATTCCTTCCAGGCTCACTAACCCATTCCCTCTTTGTGCTCCAGCCCTCACTGTCCGGGTCTGTGGCATGCAGTTCCTGGGCGACATTTCCTCCTCTGCTTTCAGCACAGCCTCAGGCTGTGCCTGGCTCCCAGGCTGGAGTTCCTTGGTCCCAAAGCCTGCAATCCCCTCTGCCAGAGACAGAGTTGGTTTCATGGGTGACCAGCCCATGCAGTCACAAAGGGCCCCATGCTCAGAACCCTGTACCTGGTTTAGTACTCTGCTGTTGCCGTCTTGAAATGATTAATTTTCTAACAGGGGGTCTTGTGTTTTCATGTTGCACTGGGCTCTGCAAAATTATGTAACTGGTCCTGGCAAGAGACCTCAGAGGTCATCCACCCTATCTCCACCATATCTCAAATGCTGAAGACTGACTCCCAGGTCCAGCCCTCTTTCCAGGATGGCACATTGTGTTTTAATCATTACTTTCCCCTCTTGTGCGATGGCGGATCATGCAAGTTCACGCTGGCTGTCTGTCCTGGGTGTAGATGCTGATTTGCTGTCCCACTCAGATCCCCTTGCAGGAAGAATGGAGCCCCCTACCTGGGAATTTCCTTCACCTCCCAAGCCAATGACCGATGCAAGGCCCAAAAGGCCAGTTCAACTCTGCAGTGTGGTTTATGCCTCACAGCTCTTCCACTGTGGGTCAGGCCAAGGCTGGGCTGAGACTGTTCCTGCTCAGCATTTTTCCTTTTCCTCTTCTGCTTCCCTCCTTCTTTTACAGGTTTTTCTGGAAGTACACTCCCCACCCCACCAAAAAAAAAAAAAAAATCACTTCATGCCTGTCTCAGGTTCCGCTTCTAAGACAACTTCCAGATCTTTCTCAACAGAGAGCATCAGATTCTCAAAACAGTAAGTCCTACCACTTGTTCTATCACAAACTTATTTTGGGCAAGTCACTCAAGCCCTCGATAGGTAAGATAGTCCCTGAAAGCATTCCAGCCAAGTCCACCCCAGGAGGGAGCCGCCGCATGGAAGGACAGAGCTGAACATGCCACTCAAAGGAAAAGCACTTAGAACCACTCTAGTCAGTCTTCTCTGATTTTATTACAGGGCAGGTTGAGGACAGGGGAGGGAAGTGGCAGAGGAGTGACAGGAGGGCAGCCAGGGGCCCTCTCCTACCCTGAGCCTCAAGGCCTGGTGGGGGACAGGAACTACAGAGGCATCAGATGAGGCCTCAGAAAGCGCAGGCCACCAGCATTTTCCATGGGACCAGGCTGGCTCCATGCGGAACTGACTCTCCCAGAGCAGCGGGAGAAGGGTTCGCGTGGGCTCCCCTGCCCTCCCACCAGTCCCTGACAGGATAGGGGAGGTGCAGAGAACATCAGGTGCCCTCCCTCCCCATAAGGGGCATGGGGGATGGGGGCACTTCCTCTCAGGACACAGGGAGCCTGGCTGAGCTGGCTGGCTCATGCCTGGCCTGGAGGTCAGAGGGGAGTGAGACACTCTGGTTTAAAAGGCCTTCCTTTCCATTTTGGGGAAAACAGGCAGGGAGAGAGGCGATGGTGCTGTGCCAAAAAACACCCCCAAATCCAGACGCAGGCTTTGGAGCCACATGTGGGTTTGAATCTGAACTCTACCTGGCTGAGTGACCCTGGGCAAGTCACTTCACCTCCCTGAGACTCAAGTTTCATCAAGATGGGAACAATGAGCATCTGCCTCACAAGCTTGTCATGAGGATTAAGTGAGAAAGTGCATGTAATATTAGCAACGATTGGATAATACAAAATTAAGAACAAGGTTGGGCGTGTGGCTCACGCCTGTAATCCCAGCAATTTGGGAGGCTGAGGCGGGTGGATCACCTGAGTTCAGGAGTTCCAGACCAGCCTGACCAATATGGTGAAACCCCAGCTCTACTAAAAATACAAAAATTAGCCGGGTGTGGTGGCATGCACCTGTAATCCCAGCTACTAGGTAGGCTGAGGCAGAATTGCTTGAACCAGGGTTGGGGGGGGGGTTGCAGTGAGCCAAGATCACGCTGTAGCACTCCAGCCTGAGTGACAGAGCAAGACTGCATCTCAAAACAATACAAAACAAAACTCAGAACAAGACTGGCTGGGGAAGGCTCAGTGAACACGCCCAAGGCAAGCGGGGTAACTCGGCGAATAGAAGGCCCAGGAGTGGCTGCAGAGATGTCTGCCTTCCTTCCTCCGCTGCCAGGTTTAAGAGTGAGCCCCGGGTGGGGTGAGGGGGTGGGGAGAGAACTGGGGGCTGGGGAGGGGGCAGCCTGACTTCAAGGCCTTAATGAAAGAGTGTAGGTGCGCCTGTGGGCCTGCGTGGAGAGGATGGGACAGTGCTGGGGGGTGGTGGATCCTCTGAGGACTGTTTTTAAAAAGCTGAAGAGGAGAAGGAAGAGAGAACTATTTCTTCCCATAGGTGCAGCTGCAAAGACATCAAGCTGGACCCATCGAGGATTTCAGATTCAGCCATCATGGGGCTGCTGCTGGGGAAGCCACTGCCCCTCCTTTCTCCTCAGCACTGGGGTTATAAAAAAATACCTACAAACCATGAGAAAGTTTGTATAAAAACACTTTTCTGCACATATAAAAAGAAAGACTGGCCATGGTCAGTGGCTCAGGACGTGGACCAAAGTCCCAAGAGTGGCCAAGGGGAGTCCGTGGTGCCCCAGTGGTAGAAGAGCTAGCCTGGGGCACCCCTGGTTGCCGGACAGCGCCGGCTCTGGAGAAGGCTGTGGTCTTTGGCCGGGCTGTGCTTCTGTGGATGCGAGGTCTGAGGGGCAGGAGGGGCGGCAGAAGCGCTGGCTCCCGCAGTCCTGCGGAGACCCTGTGCTAAGGTAGGTGGTGGGAGTGCTTTGGCTCTAGGCCTCAGGAACCCCCTTAGTGCGCCCCATTGCTAAAGGCAGAAGCCCCTTCACAGTAAACTTCCCCAGACATCTGGTCAGTGGCGTGGTCAGGGAAGCCGCAGGGGGTCCAGTCTGATTTCCGCTTCAATGGAGGGTTCTGCCCAGAGGCTCCAGAAGACTGGCTCCTGCTGAGACCGACCCCAGCTGGGGACATCAGGCACAGGAGGGCAGCCCAGGGTGTGGCCAGGAACGAAGGCTCTAGATAAACAGGAGAGCCGCTTTGGAAGCCTGGCCCCTCCTGGCTGGGGCTTCTGGATGTTTCCTGTGGGAAGGGCTGAAAGCAAGGAGAGGGTGGTGGCCCTGTCTTCCTAGCCTGCTCCTCCTTCCATTCTTCACCCAACAAGGGCCTAGACTGTGCGGCTCACTGGAAGAGGTCCAGAGAGTTCACCCAGGCCCTGATCTGGGGGTGCCAAGCAGCTTTCCAGAGCCAAATGGGTAGGGAGAGCGGAGAGTGACAGTCAGAGCTAGAGGTTCCTCTGCCCAGCCAGCCCAGGCACCCCTTGTCTACCCGCCACCATGGAGCCAAGGCTGTGATGGCCACCCTCAGTGGAGCTTGTACCCCCCAAGGCAGCCTAGGCGTGGGGTGGGAGTGGGCGGCATCTGCAGTCTGAAACAGGCTGAGGAACACTCTGGCTCTGGGGCGCGGGGGCCTGTGCATCAGATCCCGTCTGGCCCCGCAGGCACTCTAGGGCTGGAGGAGGGGCAGGCCACGCCGGAGTCCCTCCTTCAGGAACTGCATGTAGGTGGCCGTGGATGGGTCTTCAAAGGTGGATGAGAAGCTGAAGAGATGGCTCTCGACTTCCTCGGGCTTCATGGAGGTGATGTCCAAGAAGTAGTTGGCATTGATGTGGTGGACCTGGGAGAAGGGCTGGGTGAGGAGAGTGGGATGGAGGGGGCCCCCAGGCTCCCCGTGCCCTCTGCTCTGTGGGGAGAAGCAGGGACGCTATCGGGCCTTGACTGTCCTTGTCTGAAGTGATGGTGGGCAGGCAGTGCTGCTGTAAGCCCTCGCCAGCACCCGACACCACCTCATCACCCTGTGTCTGACGAGGGGCACCTCCCTGCCTTGCCTACCAGGTGAAAACCCAACACTTTCCAACATCACCTCTTCACTAGCCCTCTGCCTCCGCCCCCCGAATGACCTCTCTCCTCTGTTCCTGTGGCCCCGGACTCCATCCTGAACTCCGTGCTCACTTCTCTCACTGGGGCCTCACGCACCACGGGCCTCTCCTTTGGCTTCTCGCTCCAGACAGTGAGCTCTTTCAGCACAGGGCCATGTCTTTATCTTTGTGCCTGGCACAGAGTAGGTGCCCAGCAGATGAACAGACGAATGAATCAGCATTCAACCAACATTCATATGAGTGGGAGGCCTGGTTCTCCCAAGCAGTTCCCCGACACCATCTCATCACCCTGTGCCTGGAACAGCCGATGCCTTCTGCCTGGTGCCCCTTCCTTTGCACCGAGCCCTCACTGGACACCTTGCCCGTGCCAGCCCCTGCTCCTGACCTGCTCCCGTCCTAAGATCCTGAGGAAGCTGACCTCCTCCTATGGCCCTGGGTCCCACACTAACCATGCCTTGGGACTTAAAGGATAAGGGGTCGCTTTGATCAGAAGAGCTGGAGATCTGAGGCTCGAGGGCAGGCCTTGGTTCAAAGCCAGCTGCACTTAATTAACTGCAACATTTGTCCAGTCTCTGAAGTTTTCTAGGCCTCTTTCCTTGTTTATAAAATGGGCATTCATGATTATCCGTCTCCCAAAGCTGCTGTGAGGCCCCCGTGAGAAGACTTGCTGAGTGCTAAGGGCCCTTAGGGAGAGGTGGGGTCTTGAACCTTGGCTCAGGGCCCTCTCCTGGTCTTCTCTGTCACAAGGTCCGGCTACTCCCTCTCCTTCCATCCCAGGACTGGCTGCCATGGTCCAAGGCAAGCCTTCCCTTCCAGGCCGTGTTTCTAGCCAGGTGCTGACTCTGCCTCGGGACTATGCTCGCTGCTGTACAGCCCCCGATGACCAACACCTGCATCACGATTCCTGTTTCTACATGGGGACAACTGAGGCTTAGACTGGGTAAGAGACCAGCTTGAGGCTTTGCAGCCAGGAAGTGGCAGGGCCAGACCCGAAACCCGATGAAGCCTGCACACCCAGGCCCCCTGCTGGTTGCTCCCTGGGCCCCGTGGGGTCTGGGTGAGGGTGCCTACCACGGTGCCATTGGGCAGGCAGATCATCATCTCTACCGGGAAGCTGTACTTCTCCAGGTGCAGGCCAGCCAGCTTCTGATGGGACGGGTTCTCCTGGTTGTTCTGTGGGGACAGTTGCATACTCCTGATGCCGTGGCCCCCACCACTGTTCGGGAGGCTCCTGTTC